AGCCTCTGTAGATGGTCCAGGTAAGTGTCTAAAATCACTTGGCCTCTTCCTGTACCATCTTCACATCTTCAACTAATCTGTTCCACCTAGTAGATCGCCCACAACCAAATAATTAAAATATTTCTTCCCATTGCGCCCTTGCAGAATAGAGATACCAAAGCTGGTGACAGATTACGAAGTGATAGTAATGTTATCACATTACAGCAGTTACATCTTAGGAAGGGATTATATTTCAGTTTTGATGCAAGTCAAATATGAACCACACTTTCAACACATAACATGAGGTATTTGCACCACATTTACAATGTGCAAATTATGTAACATGATCAAGATCTATACTTTCATGATAGGAAGTGGAAGCAAATGTAAAAACTCACAACATATATATATGTATATAAAAATATTTAGTGTGGAAATTATGTAGCATTTCAAACCAAATAACTGTCACTTTAATGTAGCTTCAGTGTCTGTCTGACACCTCCTATTGGAATTCAATCGTTTAATCATTCCCTTTTGTTAAGTGTGAAAGTGATTTCACACTTTTACCTGGTCAGGTAGCTTTCTTATTATTTATCAGCTAAGTACTTGATAATGATTCCTGCTGTTTGGTGGGACTCTTAAGGGAAGTAAAAATGGTCCCAGGCCAACTATAATAAAACTAAGGTAAATTACATTCAAACTAAAACTTCCGATGACCCTGTGCAAATGGGAAATGTCTTGGTCTAAAATTCACTTATGATGGAGAATCGCTAAGGTATGAAATGTGTAACAAAGTACAAGAAATCTTATTCCTGTGAACTTCCTCTGCTCATCTTTACCTGGTAAAGTGGCCTGGAAAATGTATTTAAATGACCTCTCTAATTCAGACCTCATGTCACCTTCATCCCTATTCCCAGGACCCACTGAGAGCTATCATCGTTTACCCCATCTTGTTTTCTCTTTAACAATATAAGCGACAAAAGCATTTTTATAAATAGGTGAAGTGGCTGGGAAGGAGTCCACCTATGTGCTATTGTGATGTCGCAGACTATAAACCATCGAACATAGGCAGAGTAATTGTTTGGTGTACTGGAAGGAGGATAATAAAAGCACTTCCACTACGAAAGAAAATTAAATGTGAGAAGAAAGAAAAAGAAAAAAGACCGATGGCAATTTGAGTACAGTGTATTTGTTTTTCGTTTTCCTAACATACTGTGCCAAGTTTTCTACTCTTTCCGTTTCCAATTTTGCTTTCGGTGAAGGTTTCTCGAATCTCAGCAATCCCACACATAAACATTTATCGTTATATCCATTAAGACTTAAGGTTTCAGATTTTCAACTATGAGGGAGAACTCAGCCAAAGATGCTTGAAAGATAAATACGTTTAATTAGGGGCAGAGGATGATCATTAAAGGAAGTCTGACTGCTGCAGAAGTCATTAACAATCTTAAATGAAATTTTTATTTTTATGATAGCCATTTACATGTATAATAAGAGCCAATGATTCTTGGGAGCAGTGTGACAGAAACAGAGTGTGGCGAGAACTCATGTAAGACATACTATTTAAATGAGCTGGTGTTAGCTATTCATATTTGTTAATGAACTAGATATGCAGGGCTATAAGAATGAATGTTCTGATGCTTTAAATTTTAATATCTAGAAATCAAGGGTAAGGACCAATTACTAGAATTTCCACCCTTAGAGGAATAATTAATAAGGATGTAACAAATGTACAGCCCCAAACTTCTTTAAAAAAAGTTTAATTAAAAAAATTTAAGATCAATAGTTGAAAACTAGCCAAACAACAATGTCAAGCTGTAGTAGTCTGTGATGGCGGCAGCTTTTTGTGTTGGTCATGGATCATAATTCTAAATGTTTTAATATACAGTAATCCATATGAATGCATTGCAGACCCTGTTATCACCTGTAGTTAATGGTGCCTGTGATACAAATGAACAGGCTGTTCTTTGCTCTTACCTTTATGGTAAATAAACCAGCATTCTGGAGTCACAATAATTAAATAAAATGTAAATCCCTAATCTCATTTGGCTATTTGGACCAAGAAAGTTACCCGGCTATTACCTGTCTAGTTCTAATGATTAGTAATGATTTATTGTTCTTTTTTTTTTATTGTTCTAAAAGTGCTCTGATGTGGTGCCTTGATGTCTAATGAAAAGAAATTGGTCTTAAAAAGCTACTCATTGTTTATCCTGACTCTGAGATAACACATTTTTCTTCTGATAAAATATTTTTCTTATTTATTGTTCAAAACACACAATATAGACAATAACTCTAATTCTGGTGCAGTTTTATTTAGTAGTGTTTTATCCCCGGTGCCTGGCTGTCTACAGTCATACCTCAGCACATAGCTTTACTCTGAGATAAGCCCTCTCTCCTTTGCTCTTTCTCCCATGCTTTCTGGAGTTTGTCTGCAGGATGCAGGTTTTGAACTGAAGAGCGCAGTGGAGTTCTTACTGTGCCTTTCCGGTTCCAGCACAATCAAAGTTTTGTGTTTGGAATTGTCCTTGACATTCTTTCGTCCCACAATGGGGTGGACACAGTGTGCTGGAAACCATGACATCATTATCATTGACACAGACTTAAATAAATCACCTGCATCTTGGCCTCTTTCTGCTTATTCAAGGATTCTTCATCTTAAGGAAGAAAGTGCTCTTTATTTTTACAAACCTTCGTCCCAGGGGTGACTGGAAGACGCAAACTTTTACAAGTGTTTTAAAAATAAATATACTATGTGGTTTTAGACACAGTATGCTGAGTCAGAGGTGTCTTAGAGAATGTTTAAGGTTAAACATAAGGCAGAAAGACAGCCAGATTGCCTTTAATTCAGAGGCAGTATTCCTAAACTGTGTATCATTATGTCCTTCTGAATATGGATTCACTTGAAACTTAATTAAATAGGCATATACATAACATTTCAAATACATACCTGAAAAGGCTTAGTAGTGTTTCATTTTAATACATTGAGCTTGATATTCAAAACAGAAAAAGATTGATGCTCAGTGAATCAAAGCAAAGTACATTCTAGGTAAAAGTGACACCATCTCATCCAACATCTCTGAAAGATCTCAGTTGCATAGTCTTGGGATAAAAAGGGTTATAACTAAATAATACTACAAAATGCAATTTACACAATGTGCTGACTACACATTTGGATACCCAGCATTTATTAATTTGGGAAGCAACCAACTACTGTAACTTCTCTTTACTTTTTCATAAGAAAATGACAATGAGGAAGGAAGTGCAGCAGAAATCTTGAACATTACCACTATTATGCAAAAAAAAAAAAAAAAATGCTGTTAACTGTTTTCCCCTCAGTGACTTGATGTGCTCTCAGATGGAAAACTTATGATTCTTGTGACTCTTGGCTACCCGAAATCACATGAGATGAGCAAGGAAGAAAGACACAAAAGCTATATTTATATCTAGTACTGAACTTCTCAGAAATACCTTAATGTAATTCCTTGCAGAGACTGATAAAAATATCAGATGAGGGAGACTTCCAAATGATCAATGATTACAATTGACAACATAATATTGCTATATATTAAACTTCTAAATGTTTAATGCAAAATGTCTCTCTGAAAATATTTTTTAAATAAAGGAGAATTCCTTGCTCAGGAATGAATCTAAAGGGGTTGTACAGCTTAAACAAATATCATTCAAATTTTCTGATTATTATGAGGAGTGGCATTAAATTAGCATCTAGGTATATCTGTGTATTTTACCTTAAGAGGATCATGATTTTTTAGTTCTGATGCCATAAACAGATTTGCTGCACTGCTTGTAAAATATATTTTATTTTATTTTTTCTGTAACATTTTCTAGAACCTGTTCTTTCATGAAAGTAGATTAGAATATGATAAGCAAAGAATGACCAGGACAGATTTGGGAATTCGCAGAGTCCTATTTACAAAATTTCCCTTGTTTTAAGTAAAATGATTATCACAGAGAGATATTCATCCTGGAGCATATTTGGTCTCATTAGTATTGTCATAGTAAAAATACAATTTTTTAAACTTCATGTTTAATTTACTTACGTAAGAGATTTTTAACTGTCAGCTATCCTGCTCTGTCCTCTTACGTCCTCTACAATCTGGTAAGCAGAAAATTTGAGAGTGCCCCTATTTTTCAAATTCTCCCTTATTTTAAAATACTGCAATTTTTGATAGTGACCTTTCATTGTTTACGAATTTTTAACTTCAACATTATATATATATTCATCAGAACACTGAGCTGTTGTTATATATGTTTCCCCAGAAAATGATTATGATTACCTACTGGGGCATAAATGATGATGAGGAGAAGACATTTATGGAGTGGTGGGGATAGGAATAAGGCAGGTATGTTCTAGAAGTTTATATCAAGCAGTGAAACAGGTATTGTTGTCACCTCTGGGATATTTGTTGTACAAACTGGGCATTCCCAGTTTTGATATGTAGAATTAGGTTTTCAAAAAGTATGCTTGCATAGATTAGCACCATTATAGCCCCCTAAAGGGGAAAGAAAAGCATGAAAACAAAATGTGAAATTCTGACTTGCCACTAAGCATCCAGAGTTTCCAGAGGCATAGCAGCCAGCATGCCTCTTCATGAGTACAAATACTTAGTTGCTTTTGACTCTTATTGAAAAAATAATATCTTTCCCCCGTTTGTCACTAGAACTGCCACCAGAAGAAAAGCCCTTCGTTTGCTCCAAATAAGCACTTCTGTTTTTCACAGCTTGCAGTAATGCTTAAAGTAAATAAGTTCTTGTGCAGCTAGCACTATTGGATTCATTCAATTGCGTGAACAAAGCTATTGTTTAGAGGTTTACAACAAGCCTTTTCTCTGCTTCCTTTAAAAGAATCTTCCTTGTTCCTGTGCTTGGCATGCTTAGTATAGTAAGCCTTTCTACAATTCTCAAATGCTAAAGATAATTTTCCCCCACAGAAGAAATGAAGGAAGACTATGACACTATGGGGCCAGAAGCCACGATCCAGACCACAATTAACAATGGTACAGGTGAGTTATGTTGGCCACGCTCAGATCACATTTGTCCTGTGTCATGTGGGTTTAGTGAGGCAGGGAAAGAAACACTGACCCCTCCATTTGTATCTCCATGACTTAACAAGTAAGTCAGACTTTACAGGTCTCTCGTTTTGTTTCAAATCAAAATTTTCTACATTTTGGTATTTTACTAAGCAAGTGTATCTTTCATTCTCACACCCCTAATTTACCTGTGATGTTCAAGAATACTGAACTCTATGAATGGATCCTTTCAGTGCATGAGTTGGGTGAATCTCGAGTAGTAACTTTTATTTTAAAAGACTGCAAAAAATTATTTTAAAATTAGGATATGATATGCCTCTGCTAGCCACAACTTGATATCAGTCATTGAGAATTCAAACAATGTGGTGTAATTTAGACTGTAAAATGTTTTTTTCAGAAAGACAAATTTCCATGAACATTTCTCTCAATAATTAATCATCTGAGTTCCTTTAAATCCTTTCTTTACTTGTAATTCTCTGCATCCTTGAACCCTTCTGAATAATTTTTTCCAGGCAGTTTTAGAGAAGAATTGACAAGTTTACTTATTTTTAATGAAGCTAAAAAGTTACAGTGGGAAGATAGTGAGCGGCGTTTTGTTTCACTCTGCTACTGTAATAGAATGGAGTTTCAGGACAACTGTGATATTCCATGTTTTTTCCCAAACACTGAATGGCATCTTCTCTCCCATTCTTACATCACCAACACAAATTTACATGTTTATCTCTCTTTTCCTAGATGAGACTATTTTTTTTGTGGGGGGGTTGGGACGGCGGTGTTTCCAACAGTCCTCTACACTACCATCACAGATATTAGCATAGTGTCCACTATAAAATTATCTTCCAAAATAAAACAAAACAAAAAAACACATAACTACTTCTACTCAACTCATCCATGAAAAAAAAAGCTTGAAGTTTTATGAAATGTAAAAAACGAAGATGATCTTTATATCACCCTTATGTTGATACATACCATAATAAACTGCTCATGTTGTGTTTCTGTTTAAAATGTGCTTATTAATGACTTGAAAGCATGAATTCACTTTCCTGGGTATAAAATAAGAGAAATAATAAAAACCTATTGTCATTCTATTCATTCGAATAATGTCAAATTAAGGCATAAAAATAAAACTGTACAATATATGATTCTAGAAAAAGTGTAGAATCAAGCCCCAATAAACCTAATTTTTACACCCAGCCCTGACAATGACAAGATTGTAACCTTGGGCAAGCCAGTTTTCCTCTTTGGAACTCAGTTCCCACAACTGCAAAAAAAACGAGTAGATTAAACTAGTTTCTTGATAAGACTACTTCTAGTTTTAATATTTTATGTTGCATGGGTATTATCACCATGTAAAAAATAGAAACAAGATAAAATGACTTCATATTAAAACATAGTAATAAAGCGATATCATGAATTAGATACTTTCTATAATACTTTCTGTAACTCATGGGATCAAAAATGGCTTTGAGTTCCTTTCAAAGATAAATGTTAAATTTTGGCCTCCAGCATAAATAAAAACTGATTTTTACTACCCTTATAAGCACTTAAAGTGTCACAAAAGAAAATTTACCCACAAAGTAACAATTTACTAGTTGTTGTATACACCTAGAGTTTAAAGTGAAGTTAATAAAAATTGCTTCTATTCAGAAGGTTTAGAAGTCAATCTTGAATGTCTTTTCACCAGGCTTTAAAACCCCCTTTTTTCTCATAATACCTGCTGTACCTTGTAGTTCATATGTATTCAGTCAATAAATAAATCAATAAGTATTCATTGAGTGTATTCTATACAGTCACTGTTGTGTGCATATGAGGTAGAAGATGGGTCAGAAAGACTAAAACATGGTTATCATTTAATTTGGAAGATGAGACGAATACACCTGATAAAATAATGATGATGAATAAGTGAAAATATGTGATAAACCTGCAACAAATGGTAGGAGCCATAATTATTTAGTTTTTTGGTGTTTTGTTTTGATTTGTTTTGTTTTGTTTGAGACAGAGTCTCAAATTTTGTCACCCAGGCCTGAGTGCAGTGGTGCAATCTTGGTTCACTACAACCTCTCCCAGGTTAAAGCGGTTCTCCTGCCTCAGCCTCCCTAGTAGCTGGGATTTCAGGCACACACCACCATGCTCGGCTAATTTTTGTATTTATAGTAGAGACGGGGTTTCACCATGTTGGCCAGGCTGGTCTCGAACTCATGACCTCATGTGATCCTCCCACCTTAGCCTCCCAAAATGCTGAGATTACAGGCATGTGCCACTGCGCCTGGCCCATAATTATTTGAATTACAGAAATGAGAGAGAGTCTATGGAATGGGCATTCACATCAGGTTTTGTGAAGGAGGTAGAATTCGAACTGAATACATTTTCAATAGTCATGGAGGAGTGAGGAAGGGCTTTCTAGTTGAAGAGGAGTCTGTGAGCCAAGAAGGGAAAGTGTGACATCTATTCAGAGGATAGTGAGTAAAGGGTTTTGGCTGAATCAGAGAGTCCTAGGAGGCAATTTCTGGGAAATAAAGCTGGACATTTAAGTTAAAGCCAGATGGTGGAGAATATAAAGCACCAGACAGAAAAGTCTGGGTCATGTTATGCTACCATGATTTCTGTGGGTGAAAACTAGACTCTGAGAGAACAACTGGAAGTCATTATAGTTATCCAGGTATGAAGTGATAAAAATCGTGTCCTGAGGTGGAGACAGTGATGAAATTAGCAACCTGACTTCTTAATAAGCAATTGATTATCTGAATGATGGAGGCAAAATGGCTTCAGAATTCCAGATCTGCATGTTTAGAATATAGCAGTACTTGCTATTTCTAGATTTACAGAAGAAGGATCTAATTTTGAGAAGATCTTGAACCAGCCTTTAGACATAAGTATTTTCATATAAAAGATATATAGATATGGGAATATGGGAATGTCCTTTGGAAATGAGGAATTGAAATCCAAGAAGTCAGGGCTGGAGATAGAGATTTGAGAGTTATGCAAATATACTCAGATCATGTTCAAGATCATATAGAACTATGAGATTTACGACTGAGTGTATTTGTTGAAAGCTGAGGCCAGGGCTCCTGGAGGCTGGGGAGGAAAGTCAACGAAGATTTTCTTTTGAAAAAAAAAAAAAAGATTATGACACAAGAGAAAAAAATTAAACATTCAGAAGCAAAGGAAGAGAATTTCGTAAAGGTGAGAACTCAGTTAAAAGCTTCAAATAACTGCCCTTGAAAGAAAGCTGAATAAATACACTGGACTTAGTTAATTAGAAATGTACTAGTGATCTTCAGCTTACAACTCTGCCCTTTTAGAGAATAAGTACATATCAGTCTTCCTAGCTACAAGCTTACCACTTCTTCTCCCTGGCATCTCTTTGGATGCTAAATACATATGGTTTTAGAAATAATACATCTTTTCTTGTTGAAATTACATCTAAAAGACCATCTTCCTCTGCTCCCAAGTCCTACTCATCAAGATCCTGCTATTGGCTGAACGTCTTCTCTAGCCATCCCACACTAGAATGTCTTCCTCCAATGAACCTGTGGGTTTTGGGCTGCTTTATCGCCATGAATCCGGGAATGGTCTCCATCACAAAGTGTCTTTGAAGAAATGAGCCAGTGAATGGGAGACAAACAGCACTTGGACTTCCCTTTTGTATTTTTAGGTTGACATATTTTTGACCCCTGGCCTAAAGTAACCAACCAGACATTTTCATCTCTCCTTTATTCCACTCATTCAAACTTGAAAGCCTTAGTTACATTTGACTGTTCTCTGACCCTCATGTCCTCCTCTATTTAGTCAGCCCACATCTTTTCTTTAACAGTTTCCTCAATGTCCAAATTCCCTTCTTAGAATCCTGAATTGCCCCTGAGCACCTACAGGACATTCTTCAGTCCGATAATAAGTGCCATCCATTGTATACCAACGGCGCTCCATTCTTGTCAGACCAAATCCCTGGGTGATAACAAAAAAGAACCACATTTATACCAACCTCTGAATCTCTGCCCATGCTATCCCTTCAGACCCTAATCCCCCAGCTCCTGTCTTCCAGTCATTCAAATTCTCCCCATCCTTCTGTTCTTCAAATCCAGGTCACGTTGAACTTGATGTGGTCAGCCTTCAACACCCCAAATGACAGCAATCTGTTCCTTTTCTGAAATCCCACAACCCTAAGGTGTACACCGCTAACTTCAGCATGTTTAATTGTTCCTCTTTATATTGTTTGCCCTTATTTCATGGAGTCAATTTCATGAAGACAAGAGGTTTCTTCAGCTTGAAAATGAGGGTGGATCATCCTGGTATCTACCTCATTGGCTGACCTTGTTCTGTAGCCAGTAATTAAATAAATAATTACTGAGGTAATCAAATAAATAATGAAGCCAGGTGTGGTGGTCTGGCCCATAATCTCAGCTACTCAGGAGGTTGAGGTGGGAGGATGGCTTCAGTCTAGGAGTTGGAGGCTGCAGTGAGCCATAATCCACTGCACTGCAGCCTGGGTGACAGAGCAAGACCCTATCTCAAAAATAGTAATAATAAGAATGTATATGTTGATATTAGTAAGTGACTAAAAAAATGTTTGCCCTAAGGAAAGGGCTATTCCATTTTGCCTCAACAAGCCCAGTTATAGCAGGGAGCATACATGGTAGATACTACGACTGGTGAAATGAATGAATGAGTCAATGAATGAATATTTGGTGGAGAAGAAATGGATTCTGATAAAGGAAGCCACAGTAGGGAAAATATTCTCTGTGGAGGCGACTAAGTCAGTATCTTTAGAGAGTGAAACCAGGATCTAAGTCCCTGAAGGATTTTGCCTTGTTAAAGGCAAAGAAGAATAGCCTAGAGTATCACTATATATATATTTTTTTACAACAAAGTTAGATTAACTGAATGGCAAAATTGATCTGTAACACATAAAACAGCGCAAACCTGGATTTATATTAATAACTTTCCGCATTGCATAAGTTCACCGGTTTTAATTT